AGTTTTCTTGGATTCAGTACGGCATGCTATTGTGGTGTGGGGTCGACGATGTTATATTTATAATTTTAAAATCAATGCACTCATTTTTTTCGAGTTGTTGCTTTCCATGTGTCTTTTGTTTTTGTCTACTTACAACATGTGACGTTTGCTCTACAGTCGTTGCTTTCGACAGTTGCCAATAACAAAACTGAAGGATGAACCAGCCAACAAATGGTCGCTGAGAAAGGCACTTTTCATTCGGATAAAACATTTAAAAGGTGCTTGTGTGTTTTTACTGCGAAACCAACACATTCATTTCGAAACGGGGGAAGGGGAAAGGGGGCGGGGATAATTTGTCTCTCACTACTACGAAGGCGCCATTAACCTGCACGTTTCTGCCGCTTGCAGCCTATCAGTCAGACACGTTTTTTTCTTAACACTACAAGGTTTAAGCTATTAACGAAAAACACAACAGTTGGCCGACTAGCTGGCCACAAAGTCACAAAGTCACAAAACACCAACGAGATGCAGCGGTCTTTGGTGAACGATTATCACCAAAATCTCATAATTTATGTACATAAATTTGTTATTCCAAACAAACATAAAAATTACAAAAGCAAAGCAATAATTTTAATGTTAATATCATTCCGAACCAGCGGTAGGTAGAGACGCCGTTCGGCATCCCATAAGTTCAGCAATAAGATTTTCAGGCACCAAAAATGGCGGTCAAGCAATTCTGCGTCGCATTTGTTGCATTAAAATTGGCAGCAAAAGATTCACTCAACTACATGATTAAATTTAGAAATTTTAAATTTGTATCCGTTAACAGCAAACAGCTAGGCAAACACGGTTATGTATCTTTGGTCAAATTCGAATTACCCAAAAGAACTTCTATTGGCACAATGCACATATTATGGTCATGTCGTATTATACAGTTCTTAACTGATGAACAAGAAATGAGCAAAGCTTCGAATTCAAAAGCTCGATATGTTTTATCAACATTTATGAGGTTAAAATATAGAATTGGGCCCCTGACATCAGCTGGCAAAGATGCTGAAGATCAGTATTGACAGTAAATTAATGCGATCCAATTGAATCAAAAGTGTAAGCTGTTAAATTGGCACAAAACAAAATATTTTCAGCCAAGGCAACATAGGATCATGGTAGTTGCGCCTACACTTGTAGTAAGTCCAGAAAAACAAACTTTTGTGAAATATGTACACACAACGGCAAACAAATAAAACAACAAACAAGACTACGCTACAATAACAGTTCTGAGTCTTGGTTGGGATACAACACTATCCGTCAACAAAAACAAATATCACTTTTTTACTTCATCACTTTGGCACACACCCTAAGGGCGGCGCAATTAGGTCCCCGTCGTTTGAGGCGACGCCTCTCCACAAAGTAGGCGCGGTTAGGTGCTCAGTCGTACTGGTGCCGGTAGGCGCGGTGGCCGGGGTACGGGCTGGGCTCTGCGCTCCTGCTGCCGTACTGGCCGGCCCGGGGGTCGCGGCCGTGCGTCCCGTAGGCGCTGCCGTGCGCGCTGCCGAGGCTGCTGCCGTAGGCGCTGCCCTGGAGGCTGCCGTAGGCGCTGCCCCGCGCGTCGTCGAAGGCGCCGTAGCCGCGCGAGCCGTAGCCGGGCGGCTCGAGGTGGTGCCGCGCGCCCTGGCTGTGCGTCCGCCGGTGCTCGCCGTGGTGCTCGCCGTGGTGCTCGCCGTGTTGCCCCGCGTAGGCGCGGTCGCTGATGCCGCGGTCCGTGAAGGCGCGGTTGTTGTACGTGCGATCGGTGTGCGAGCCGCCCGGGTAGGCGCGGTCCGCGTAGCCGCGCTCGTTGTAGGAGCGGTCGCTCGGCGCCTGGTCGTTGTAGGCGGCGCGCTCGCTGTGCGCGCGCGGGCTCAGCACGTGGTCGTTGTAGGCGCCGCGGTCACCGTGGGCGCGGTCGCCGAGCACGTGGTCGTTGTAGGCGCGGCCGCTGTGGGGCCGGTCGCCGGGCAGGTGGTCAGTGTAGGCGCGATCCGAGTACGCGCGGCCAGCGTGGGACCGGTCAGAGTAGGCGCGATCGGCGGTAGTGACACCCTCGGCGTAGCCGCGCTCGGTGGCGTAGGCGCGGTCAGCAGTGTAGGCACGGTTGGCGGTGTACGGGCGTTCCGCGGCGTGGGCGCCCTCGGTGTAGGCGCGATCGGCAGCGTGGGCGCCCTGCTCGGTGTAGGCGCGATCGCCGGCGTGGATGCCCTGCTCGGTGTAGAGGCGCTCGGCGGCGTGGATGTCCTGCTGGGTGTAGACGCGCTCGGGGGCGTGGATGCCCTGCTGCTGCTCGGCGTAGGCGCGTTGCTCGGCGGCGCCTTGCTCGGCGTAGGCGTCGGCCTGCTCCGTGGAGTGGGTCGTGGTGCTGCGAGGCTGGGCGACGAGGGCCGGCACCGCATGGGGCGTGCACAGAGGTGCATGCGCCAGCGAGGCCGGGGTCCCAGACCTCGCAGCGTCGTGTTATCCCTCGAGGAAGATGAGGGCCGTGGGCTTGGGCTCCAGGTTGGACTTCTTGGCCTCGATGACCAGGAACTCGATCTCGGAACGGTCGCGCCGCGCGAACGACTCGGCGATCATCCGCGCGATGTCCTGGTGGTGCATGGCTGCGGGAACAAAAGACCCCACACCCAAAAAATAATTAAAATTACGAAAATAGATGATGAACCAAGCACTGAGAAATAAAATGAACTCTCTTTTAGCAGAGCGCTCTGGCTTGTCTACGTCGTCGTATCAGGCGCACCTGGTCTCCCGGCGCCGCCTAATCTCAATCCCCCGGGATCACAAAATCCCCCGCCGACACTACTGACACTCACCCTCGACGCGGTGCCCGTCCACCTCCAGGATGAGCTGGCCAACCTCGAGCCCGCCGGCCTCGTAGGCGGCGCCATGCTCGTGGATGTTGATGATCCTGGGCAGCGGGTGCTTGGTGTTGGCGCCGCCCTCGATCGCGATGCCCAGCAGCGGCTTGGTCTTCCTCACTGTGATCCGGAGGTTGCCCAGCTGGTCGGCCACCACCATGGCCTGCGCACAAATTATCATTAGTGGCGACTACTGTTTTAAAAAACTTTATTTTTGAAAAAATGTAAAGTTTAGCTCAATGCAAGCTCTCATGGCGCCTGGTAGGTAGACAACATCGTAGCCTGCCGTGCACGCCTGTACTGCGGGGCGGCCTATCCCTAGTCTCGCAGGCGCCCCGTCTCTCTTCATTATTTGCCCAATGATCGGATGAATGTCAGAGAAACTAATGTATACTTCATAGACAATTCCTACAAAGAACAACTAATGTTCTCAGCGGAGTGTTAAACTCTTTTCGGTGTCAGCCGAATGCCGTAGAGGAGTCACGTGATCAGCTCGACTAATCAGAGTAGCCATCCTTACAGAAGTAGCTAAGGCAGTGAGTCTGTTCTTTCCCTACTTCCGGTGTCCACACTTCCGGTTTACACACTTCCGATTTCCGCACTTCCGATTTTCACACTTCCGATTCCCACATTTCCGGTTTCCGCACTTCCGATTTTCACACTTCGAGTTTCCGCACTTCCGGTTTTCACTCACCGCCTCCGCCTCCCTGTCGTGCAGGCCCAGGCGCTGCATGGAGTGGTGGCGGCGCATCCCCGGTGCGTCGCTCTCGAGGAGCTCCTGGTCGTCCTTCAGCTCGAAGCTGCGGCCCATCTTGTGCGGCAGCTGCTGGAACAGAGGGGCGGGCGTCACGACCGGGCAACCCAAACCTCGCGCTGCGCCAGGGTGCCGGGTGCGGGTGTGGGCCGAGGCCGAGGTGGCGGGCGAAAACGACTAGGAGTGTGTTCAAAAGTGATCCAAGTAATTGTGTGTCACTCAAGCCCATATAGCGTTGGTAATTTCTTTTTATTCTTATTCATTTTACCTGCGGTGGAGCCGAAGTCGGCCGTGCCTCCTGGAAAGAAAGCTGTATGGAAGTTAAAATGAAAAAGGATGGCATCAATGGTGGGTGTACTTATCATAGGAAAGTTAAGGTAATGTACAGAAACCAAGATTTTAAAAAAATATTGCTCCATCCGTTTTTTTAAGTGCGAGAGGTAGTGCGTTGAAAGGTGTTAATGCGATTTAGAAAACATCCAAAAACTTTTGAACAGCGGAGAAATAGTTTTAAGGCAGCGCGAGGAGGAATGCCGCATTTAAAACGACCTCGAAACAGTGTCAAAACGATATCGCTACGGACAAATTGATATAGGAACAACATCGTTCTTTGTCGTTTCGATATAGTTTTAAGCATTATGTTTCACAGGGAAATGTTATCGTGTTTATTGGAGTGTTGGCTTCCCTGACCAGTCCGATTCTTCACCTGTCACTTTCAATAATGTTCGACTATCTCTACCAACATGCTCGTTTAGGAGAGAAAAAACTAAGAGCAAAAACATTAAGGCTGAATATAAGCATGTTCTTACTTGTTCACCGGATTTAAGTAAAAGTCGAATGTTTTAAAAAATAGTAGCACAGAATACAGTAAAAATTAAGAATTTGGAGCTTCTATGCAAGACTAGCTGAACAATGTCCCGCCTTCTCTCTTTCAAACACTACAAAAAAATTTGCGGCGTCAAGAAATAATTTGAAAAAGAATCAACACTCGTTTGCTTATCAAGGCTACATTATTTCTAACTAAGGACTACCGTAGTCCTAATGTCTATGACTAGTCTAATCAAGATTCCAAGATCAATAAATAAATTCTGGCGCTCAGGGAAAAAAATATTCTTTTAGTGTTGTACAAGGCAGAGTGAAAGTAATAAAATTTAGGATGCTAGAAAATGCGTTTTCGAAAAGAAGATAAAATAAACAAAAGGTCATGCCAGTAAATCTATCCTGCGCTACCCAGCCTGCTGGTTGTGACATTGGGGGTAGAGCGTGCACAACGACGGATGGTTTCTAAGTGCAGCGGTTTGTTGATCTTTAACTTACTAGTGGGCTCCCCCAGTACCATGACTTGACTTTTTGAGTCCAGCCTCCCAAGTGAGAACGCAGACCATCGAAGTAGCCGGGCTGAAAACCGTTTTGCAGAGTTGAGGAATACGCTATTCTAGAGATAGAAGAATTATATATACTACATCACTAACTTCTACACAACATCTAATACACAAGGACTCCAACGCGCTACAGTCGACGACCCGCAGAGCTATACTACAGAAAAGGGTTATAGCCTAAAACTCGAAAAATCGACCGAGACATTTTTCAAAGAGTCGATCATTTTAGCTCCGACATCGACGTACTGCAATCTTGGGGAATGTAAACAAAAATTTAACATTTGCTGATGATCGCACCGCTTAATTGAATTGACACAATTTTGGATTTTAGTATGAATGGTGATCTGCCATTCCTAGTCTCTTCCGTTATACCAACTAAAAGTTTTATTCCTTGAGATTAGAAGGCCAAATGTGCTGTTATCAGATAGGTCCGAAGAGACACATCATAAACCAAAGACATCGATATAATAATCCGAGTTCCACTATCGATTCGCTTCGCTGTCATCTAGAGGAAACAAGGTCCGTCACCGTGATCGACTCTTTGTCTGAAATATCGCGACGTACGACAAGCTACGGGACGGTCTTGCCACAAAATCCATTAGGGTGTTACAACGGGGTACAAATTTAATACAGCATATCCTCTAGCGACACGAACTGCGTAATACCAAGTCGGGGGACATAAAACTACAGAAAAATAAAAACAACATTTTTTTGTACACAGTATCCCGTCTAGACATACACGACACCGTCAAAACAAGACACAGCGAGATAAAAAAAATCCTTGAAAATCTTCAAACAACGAAAAGTAGCGACTCTCACTTTTCCGGAAATTTATCGATAAATTCTGAAATAGAACAGAAAACTTCCGAAGTCAGAGAAATTTTTCATTAC